GATTTGGCACTGCCAATCGCCTCCAGAGACTTTAGAAGATTTTTAGGCTGGTTTGTGAAGGGAGCAAAGCAGCATGGTCTGATGGATCAGGGCATAAATCTTGTATGTGTGGGTACTCGCAGAGCTCACGGACGCCCTGTGAGCTGAACAACAGGCTGTGGGTTAGCGAGTGCAGTGCTGGAGCAGACAGGGAGGGGATACGGAATGAACTCCCCAAACAACATCTGCTGTTTGTCAGTTATTTTCACAATTCTTTGTGATAAAGTTGTAGAATCAGCAAAAGAAATTTCTCAGAAATGCTCATGATGGGGCTGGCCATTACACTCCCTTTTCTCAGGAGGACCAGGTGGGTGCCTTTGCCAGGCTGGCGGGTGTACGGGCTCCAACTAAACTGGCTGAGCATGTAACAGTGGTTTTAAGTAGCAGAGTCAGATGTGTCATGTCCTCCCCCTAGCCTCAGTCCTGCTGGCTCCCACATCCTCTCCGCACTCCACATGCGCGGTGTTTGCTTCTAAGCACTGTAAATAAAACAGACTAAGGATTTTGGATGCGGCCAGGACTTCATTGACATCACCAGCAACACTCCAGCTGGCTTAGGAAGCAGAGTCGTTAACACCGCACCAGTGATTGCTGGCTGACAGCACCTGCGAATCCTGGTAATGGCTCTTTCCCCGAACACATTCTTATCAAATTACATGTTTTGCCTGGCTTCCAGCTGGAGTTAATGAACGCCACGTACCTGTCTCAAATTGCGCTTGGCATTTCCAATCTAATGGCCTCAGGGGGGGGGGGGGGGGATTAAATGAGGTAGAAGAAAATGAGGCAGAAAAAAACCTGATGGAAACAGGCAGCAGCTTGTCCAGATGTAGAGAGCCAACACAGCAGGATTCCCAGTCTCTAACCCTCTACTTTTATACAGCCGAGTGCTCCATTCTCTGCAATTAATCACTGAGTCTCAGCCAGAAAGACTCAGAGGTAGATCTCTCCAGCTCTCTGGGCATAACAGAGAAGGGCCAAGACTAGGCAAGGGGGTGTCCAGCACTAATCACTTTGTACAAGGGGCAGGGCAGTTTGGATAAAAAAAACCTCTGCGACTTGACTATCCAGGCAGGACTAGCTCCTTCTCTGAGCAGGAAGATGGTCTAAACAACTCCTGAAATCCCTCCCCTGTTTTCCTATTAATGGGAAGTTTGCTCAAGGAGTCAAGTCCCATTTATTTCAGAAGAATTCCAGAGTCACACTTCAGGGAGCCCAAGGGAATAGACAGTTTTTCCCCCATCCTGGCTCTAAACTCTCTCCAAGCAGCACTTGGCCATGCAGCACCCTCCAGACCGTGACCTGCTGCTGACTCTCGCCTCTGAGAGCGTTCCCAGCCTCTTTGGGTACGACCTTTTGCCCAGCAATTGACTTGGTAAAGTCTGAAACATCAGGCCCTAAAGCAAGAGTTTCATCTGCAGCCATTTCAAAGATGCTTTAGGCTGACAGAACGGTGTAAAACCTGAATAAAACGCACACTTAGTGTGATCTCTCCTCTGCCTTAGCACTGCAAACCAAATCCGCTGCCACCCAGCCCACGTGCTTTGCAACCTTTAAGCTATTTCTAAAGCCACTTGGAAGCTTCTTAATCATTAAAGACGGGCTTAATGAGACAGCTGCCCAGCACATCCAACAGATTCCTGCTGCCAGTCAGAGGAAATCCGACTCGAGAAGTACTGTCCCAGCCCCACAACAGTCGCTAGCCGCCAGGGAACAAGCCAAAGCCCCGGCGCCTTCAGGAAGATGGTGCCTGCCCCCACCGGCCACCTCCAGCCTCATCCCGCGGGGAGCCGCTTGCCGAGACCCTCTCTCCCATCACAGGCACGGGGAGAAGCGGCTCCCCAGCCCCGCCAGAGCTGCGCCGAGGGCCGGGCGGCTGCCTCCGTGCCGGGCGAGACCCTTCCCGCCCGGGGGGCCTCTCCTCCTGAGGCGGCACAGGGGGCGCCCACCTCCGG